CAGAACTGTCAGTGTTATTGGGCACCATCGGTGTCCTTACAGCTTTTATCTGGCCATTGTAATTACTGTAATGAGAGGAGGACAAACCTGCCTTTAATGACTGTGGGAGTTCAATCTGCATTAGAAAAAAAAACCTCGATCCTCTCCCACTTCAGCTTAATGATTCCTGGGGCTTTCAGGGGTGTTTTGGTTTTGGTTTGTTATTTGTTTTGTGAACAAGCATTGGCATAAGAGTTTTATTTGTTTCTTAATCCAGTCTTTTTTAATTTCACATCCGGTGAGTTGTAAACTCCCCCCTACCCCCCCCCCCCCCCCCCGTTTCTCTTAATTGCCTCATTTTGTCCATCATCTCTGACTCAGGTTTCTGGAAGGCAGCAGCTGTGGAGTCTCCAGACGACCCTTGTCAGACCCTTTGGAGTCGACCCTTTTACTGTATTGCTGGTTTTACAGAGACTCTTGTCTCTCTAATGCTTGTCTTCAGGTTGTCCAAAGTCCTGTGGGGGCTTTTCCTGGTTTGTAATTTGATTTTAGTGCTTTTGTGCAGAATGTGCTGTTTGGTACCAGATGACAGTGTTTAAACTACATTTTTCTAAATCACAAAATTAGTTGGGATAAAGATTATTGGTTAAAAAAGGGCAGCTTTTAAAAAATGAACAAACAAAAGCCATAGACTTTTTGAATCTTTCCCTCTGTTAAGAGGTGACTGACTTACTTGTTCAAATTAAGAACAAACCAGTACCAGACTATAGTTGTTACCCTCCCCCAAAACATGGCAAATAAATAACCATTTTAGAAAAAAGAACTCCCTTGTATTCACTGTATCAGCCTAAAAGGTGGCTGAATATTTAAGTACAGGCAGTATTTTACAGTTAAAAATACTAACAAAGACCACCCAAGCCATTCATACATCTTAATCTTTTTATTTATCAAAATACACACACTTGAGTTCTACAAAACCCCATGTAACAGTTTTCTTCTGTGTTTTGGTGGTTTATATTAAATTCACTTACATCTTGAAGACCATTCTGAACAGACAAACCACCTTTAGTTTATTGTACCTTCAATATAAAAATGTGACCCTGTAATCTATCAAAATTCTCATAATTTAAATTTCGTAAAAAAGCTAGAGATGGTTCATAATTATTACAGTAGCAAAGTGCTGTGCATTTACATTTTAAGAATTCAGGACATTCACATGTACCTCTCAAAATGGCGGAATGAAGTTCTCTGGAGCTACAGTGGGAATCAGAGTGTTCTCCAACTCCTTCTGCTTCTGCAGGAGGCCCTGGAATACATCAAATACAAGGTGAGTGTTCTGTCCTCCTCACACAGCCTGAACTAATGATGTGTCATTGTTTCATACCTGAAAACAATTCACCTGTTGAGGCTCAATACTTTTTAAGTACCCAACTTCAGAAAAAGCAGTACAAACTCTCTGTGCAGAGGAAACTTTGCAAAAGACTTGGAAGTGTGACTGGAGTGGAAGCCAGTCCAGTTTCCAGGGATGACCATGCAGAGGGAAAAAGGACTTCATTGTATATAATTGAAGCTCACTCCTTTGTGTACTGTCTCTGCATTCACATGTTCTACTGTAATCTTGTATGAAGCTGAACCCCAAACCTTGAGCTTTTAGTCTCAACATAAGTGATACTTAAGATCAAGGGCAGCATTGCCATTTGTACCAGACCAGTGTCAGACATTTCAGGATATATACATATATTTACTGTCAAAAGGTTCAGGGGTCCTGCTTTGCTAATGGCTCTTCTAAGGACTGAGGAAGGAAAAAATCCATAATAAAAAAACCTCCTGGAAGTGTACCCTTGTCTTTTAAGTACCACATGATGCAGGTATGTCAAGTATGTTCATAAATTTAAAATGTCTTTTTACTGTAATTAACAAGATCATATATATTGATACATCTGGCACCTTGGTCTCCCTCTATTTTAGACCTGTCAGAAATAATTTGGTAGCAAGGAACTTAAAAAAAATAGTATTTTTCTCAGAGTTACATGAGCTTTCTCAAATATAAGGGTTACAGGCTGCTGGCACAGCTCAGCACAGACCTGATGCAAGGCAGTGGGTACTACAAGAATTTAGACACGTATTCCTGTGGCATGGAAGCAGAGCAGGGATCCTTGAAAGGCAGCAGGTGCCTACTTTCAGTCCCTTGAGGAATTGCTTCCTAATTAATCAACAGTATGCGCTATTATTGTTAATAGGTCAGTGCAGCTTTCAGTCCCTGTGTCAATAATTACTTCTAATAATTAGTTTCTTGCATTTAGTAGCACGTTACAAAAACAACCCATAAAATGAACTGCCCTAAATAAAGCAAGAGGTGAGAAACAAGTAACACTGAAAGCTGACAGTTCAATGTTTATCACTTGGTCTGCAGAGGTAATAGAAGGGCCTGGAGCACAGTAATGTGGAATATTTACGGAGGGACCAGCAGTGAGCTCTGTCCTCCCACAGCCCAGTGCTGCCCATGGTGGGCTACAGGCTGCTGAAGTGCCTTTACTGCCTTAGGAACATTAAGGTGCTCTGGTATGTACTGACCTGGTGTGGGGGGTGTTCTCCTTTTTCTTAAACTTTGGCCCTTCTTTTTCACAAATAGTTCACTTTGCTGGGCTTATCCACCGATTTTTGATTTCAGTGAGGAAAATTAAGGCTGTTGCTTTTTCCTATTACTGCTGTCACCTGACATAGGCAGAGACTTGGTGTCTTGTAATGAATGCAGCAAGACACCCTCCCTTTGGCAGGGGAAGGCCTCCAGTTTTCCCTGGTGTCTTCAGTTCCTCTGGGCTGTTACTGCAACAGCCCAACTGTAATTATCCATCACTTGGGCTGGGCGTGGAGTGCAAGGCCTAAAGACTGGTCAAATATTCTGTGAATTTTCCCAGAAAAAGAATGCTAAAGCATGGTCAAATATGTTGTGAATATATATATATATACACACATACATATATATTCTGAAACTATCAATCCACTATATATATGTATATATAAATACAAAACCCAAGACTAATCATCTTCTGAAACAAAACTCTGCTCGTTGTCTAAATTGTATTTCAGACAAAATACTGCACTACTCATTCTTTCTCAGTGAAATAAATTATGCAAAACAGGTGTCATCTGCAGGAGTACACAATACTTAGATATACAAATATACTGAAGTTCAACAGTTCATGTCCTAAATGCATTCTGCAGCTGGCAGGGTATTTAAAAAAGAACTCCACATGTTTTAAATTAACTCTCTTGCAGAACCAAGATCCACTGAAAGACTAACCTTACCATTACTTTTTAGCCACGGTTAAGACCTGAATATTTACTATCCATCAAAAATGTAAACCTCTTTAAATATCCACACCTTTTGTTCACCTCAGCAAGCAGAAGGATCAAATTGTGCTTTGAATCTGGCTTCACTCTTAATCAAAATGCCACTGGCAAATGAAGCCTGAATACAAAATACTTAACAACTGTAGATATTTAACAAAAATGTTAATGAGCATTGGGGAAGACCAGATCCAGTCCAACCCATCTGGGAGCTGTTGGAAACAGGCAGCTTTTCACTGTTCTTGGGTCACAACTTTTCTTCCTCAGCTGGGACATGTTATGACCCTTCCTTTGCACAAGGAATTTACCTGCAGCTGATACACCACCTGTGCATGGCAGTACTTCTGTTTTGCTAAAGCACAACAGGTAAGCCAGGTAATCAATAACTACTGTAATTTTGGTGTACTTCAGTCTGTCAGATTTTCTTTCCTTTAATTATTTATGAAATTTTCCTCCCTCAAGGAAGAGGAAAATAAATACTGCTGCTAGCAAGAAAGTACTTTTAGAATGGAGCCATTCAAAAAGCAAGGGAAGGGACTGACAGATGTTTATCTTCAGTGTTCTTCAAGAACCAAACCAGATCTAAAGTAAATGTGTTTTTTTGTCTTGCAGCCCTGTCAGACCATTTAGAAGCACAAAAGAGAACAGCTCGTGTTCGTGTCCAGACCTGCTCTGGGCCACACCTTGTTGCCAACAGGTGGAGTATCAAATTCACTGGTGTTTTAGTAACTGGATACCATTACCAGTAACTTACTACAAAGAGAACAACATATACAAACACACACAGGCTTTTGTCTCAGGAGTTCGTGTGCCTGTAGTATTAAACTAATTTTATTTTCAGAAAATCTGGCTGATTGACAAATCCTGAATTTTCTTTTTACATGCTAACAAATAGCTGTCTTGGAAGGATTTTATAAGTGTTTACACTTCCAGTTTGCAAATATACAGGATTTTTCTAGGACTGACAACCCTTCTGCACCAGCCCCACTGCTCTGTTGAGACTCACTCACACAGGAACTACAGAAGGGAAACTTCATTGACAAGGTTCTAGTGCTGTGTTAAAACACTTTCTTTTGAAATTCATACACTCTTACTACAGACAACCCTAACTATGGAAACAAAGCCATTTCTTTTGATTTCAGATTTTCTCAGGCACTCCACTGTTTCATAGCTAATCTAAGGACTAAGGAGCCCATGGTGTGACTGTAAGGACTGTCCAAAAGTGGAAGGCCAACATGTGAAAAGTAAACTTATTAAGAAGCAACAAAAGTAGAGGACAGGACCCAAAACATAAATTATATGATGGAAAATGAATTAAAGATTGTGATAAATAATTGAGATTCGTGAAACAAATGGGTGATTGCATCAAAATAAAACAAACGGATTGTAAAACTTAATTACCCCCCATAAAGAAATAAAACAGACCCTTACAAGGTCAAGGAGCCCTAAAACCTCCCTACTATCCTAAGAATAAAATATGGTAGAACTTGAAATCTTTAGGCGCCTGTTCGTCCAAGAATGCATGAATTATGGCCGGTTGTAGAGATAACCATTTAGCTTTAGCTGTAAGAAAACCCATATATTAAATGCTTAGCAAAAACCTGTAAAATGTATATGTATATGATATAATTAATATGCATGAAGTAGCTAAGATAAATGCCAAATGTACACTGTAGTGTGTGTGCAGATTTGGGAAATTTGTCCCCATTTCTGTCACCCAGCTGGCTGCTTGCTTTTACCATATAATAAACTCTTATTCAAAAACTTATAGAAACTCGAGACTTTGTTTATCACAAAGATTATTATATATAATAGTTTTGCTATATTCATTTTTACTTAAGTATATATGCATGTTTATCCACTAAGTTGTTGCTTACCTGGCGTAATTTTGACAATCCTTTGAGAATTGCTTGTTGTCTCTCTTTAACTACATCAGGATTTAGAAGAGGATCTCTAACATGATCTGAGCTAAAAATCTGTCGTGGCATTTGGTAAGAATCTAGAAGTAAATGTACATCAAATCAGTTAACAATACCCTTTATTGATTTTAATTTTGAAGCAGTAAGTTTTCACAGTTTGTGAAAATCAGGTTTTGGCTGCTATCAAGATTATAATCACTGTTTTTAAGTTAAACAACACTTAGATTCCTAAAGCCCAATCTATATACAATAATGCCAGAGAAGTGCAATCATGCTTCATTAAAGGTAAACAGCCAAAAAAGAGAGATATAATATTCTTTTGGTTGCTTTTTTGATTTTTTTTTTAAACTTTTGTTGTGGTTGCTTTGTTGGGTTAATAGAGAGTATCATTTGGTTGCACAGCCTTTGTGTGCAGGGCCGTGACCCACGTGGATTACTACAAAATTCTGTAAAAACAGACAGCAAATTGGATAAAACTGTAGCACTGTAACATCTCTTCTACACAAATCATTTCAGTACCATGGAACTGCCGATACTGTGGGTCATGTGTTGAAGGTCTGGTCACCGGTGCCTCTGGATCGAGGTAATACACTTCGTTAGTTCGGACGTACGGGATGAACTGGGCCGAGGGAGGCCTTCCAGCCTCGGGGACTGGAGGAGGGGAGCTCTGCTCAGCATCTGCCTTGATGCTTTTCTCTCTTCTGCTACTGTTGTTATGCACCAGGAAATTAGAAGCATGGGTCTGTCTCTGTTGTACTTGGAGTAATCTGTTCTTAACTGCTGGAACAGGTGGTGATTCGGATCTGTATGGAACAACTGCAGTTAAGAAAAGCCCAAACAATACTTAAGTAATGTAATTAAATTTTCTCAACTAGCAGAGGCAAGGAATCCTCAGAGGACAGGACTTTTTGTTCATTTACTCTGCTTTTATAATTGCAGTCTGTCTGGTCATGTGTAGTTTTAATAGTAGACAATTAGATACATCTAAAAAGTCAGGAAAGAAAAGCAAATGTATTTCACTATTAATGTATTAATTTTATTAATGCAGAATATTGACATACCTTTCTTCATTCAAGTGATTCTTATAAAATTGTTCTTCCTAGGAGAAAGCAAAGTCAAAAGTAAAACCAAAAATCGCCACGTTTTTACATTAAAAGCTTTGATTTTTCAAAGTGAGTTTGTTTTGAAATTCCAAAAGGACTATTTGACCTGGGTTCAGCAGAAAGGTATTTATCAAAGATTTGCATTAAAGAGACTTGCAGTGTCTATGAACTAAATTAAGCAAATTATAGGAAGATTTTCTTCCATTTTCTATGTCTTTGGCAGCTCTAAGCACTATCAAAAATACTATATAAATATTTCTATGTCCTTGGAAAGCTGCATTTATAAACTGAAAGGTTCAACCCAAGGCAATGATTATTAAAGGAGAGGTCTGGGTTTTTCCTATTTGAAGGTGTTAGAAACTGAGGTGTTTATGCATACAGAGAGTGAGCAAGGGGGAGAGAGACAGAAGGCATGATAGTATTTGATAGTATTTTCTTTAAACAATTTTTTTTTTCCAGCCACAAGCTATACTGATACATGCTTATTGCAAATGGAAAATGATTCCACTAAGAAGGATGCATTTCTGTGACAAGAGAGTGCATCCTCAGTAATCCATATTCTCTGCAGAAGTAAACACTGTTTTCTGGAGCAGGTACTCCTATACCTCACCCACCACCACAACATAATGACTGCACACAAAAGAGCAGGTCAGTGCTGGCCTGCACTCTGCTTGCAATCAAGCTCCCTGTTCATATAATGGATCAGTGGTTGAGAATAAATGAAAAGGAATCAACACTTTGGAGGACTGAAATAACAGTAAAATCTAATTCACAAAATTCAAATATATTCTTCCGCTCATGATGAACAAAATAGGGTTTTTAATACAAAGGACAGCAGCAGGCAGATTTCAGTGCTTCAGTTACAGAACTGAACTCCCACCCAGGTAAAACTGTGGAACAAGAGTCTCAAAAATGCACATCACTGTTGTTAAAGCCCAAGCAGTTACCCACCTTCCTGCCTCTGTGCCCCTTATTCCTCACAGCTGTTTCTTCCCGAGGTGAGGGAGACCTGTCCAAACACCCCCCCTTCCTTGCCCAGAGGTGCCCGGGGGTGTTTCTTTCCATCAGCTGAAGCAGCTCCATTTGTCGCCTCACTTTGTTTTCTTCCCTTTGTTTTTGTAGTTGTTTAGGGTATCTTTCTGATGCTGGAATGTATCTTTTCCCAGGCTTGTTTATGTTCCAGTCAGGTCTTTTGCTGTATTTTTCTGAAGATTTAATTTGTCTTTCTTTTCTGGCATATTGGTCATACAGGTCACTGTAAGTGCCACCAGTCTCTTTTCCTGATATTTTATTTTTATCTATATACTGCATTTCCTTCTGGTATTTTTTGCTGTTAGAGGTTTCTTTATATTCTATAGAAATATCAGGTGATTCGCAGTGCACAGTTCTTTCCTCAGCTGACTCAGTGTATGCTGAAGTATTAAAGTAATCTAAAAAAAAAATAAATTGTATTGTAACTCTAAGCTATTTAAATTACTTGACTTTTGTATGCATATCAATCTACAATTATGATTTTATTCAAAAATTACTGTTACAGTTTTTTATAAAGCTTTTTTATTCTTTTTTTATGTGGAAGACAGATAGCACCAGTAGAAGCAAACCTAGTAAGGAAGGGGAAAACCCCAAAAGACTGGAGAACAAAATCAAGTCACTGTAAAAGAAAATTAATGTAAAATGAAACAACATTCTTTTAAAATGCAGAATTCTACTTCTGTCATGGTGCCCAAAAGTAAAGAGCAAAACACAGCTTCTGTATAGTTTTCCAGCATGCCCATGGTTTGGTCATACTCACAGCACTACTGGGAATAATTAACTTTCCTAATCCTTGTTGTCCAATGGAAATGATTTGTTCTATTTTTAAATTATTAACAGTCCAGCTTTTTTCTTTACTAAGAGGCATTCACAAAAACATTATTTAATTTGTAAACTGTCCAAATTCACAGTAAAATTTCTACCAGCACTGTCAACACCAAAAATATTATGTTGGTGCTTTGGCAAGCAGGAATAAAATAAAGCTTGCACTTCCCAAGTGACAAGCTAATACAGTTCTATATACAAGGCATACATAAAATGACTGGAAGTTTCCACTGAATTTGCTCATTCACACCTCATCTAGAACATTTAAAAAATGCAGACTAAGTTTGAGCTGGGTTTTTTAACAATGTGATACAAAACCAAGAAGATGAAGACTGGAATATGTTCTGTCTAGATGGACCTACAATTCTCTCTGGGTATTTAGCAAGAATGTAAACGTTTTCTAAACATTTGAATGTAAGCTCTCATTTTCTAATGAGTTTTCTAGTTCCAGAATTATTGACAATGATTCCGCCAATATATTCAAGGACACACTAGGAAAACCTCAGCCCTGTTCAATACCAAACCATATTACATAAACCTGGGAACATTCACACTGAAGAATACTACAAATACATGTTTAAATGCCTTAATAAATTTGGGCCTACGTGGCTTGTGACTCTAAGTCAACCCAGTATTCCAGACTGCGTGATCTGAATCTGTAACCGGTAAGTACCAACTATACAAATATATAATTTCTTCAGAAGAATAAAGTGATACACTCTAATATGCCAACATGCCTATGTCTGTGCAAGTATTTCCTTCTAGTTTTATTCTATTCTGGCTCACAGTGATGTCACAAATACGCTGCCTCTGCCTTTGCTGAGGTACCTCAGAGCCATCGGTCGTACCTGTCTGTACAGCGGTGTCCTTCCGAGGAGAGACCTGCTGCTCACTGTGGCTCTGGACATCATCACAAAAATTGTTACTTTGATGTGGAATGCCAGAATGACAATTTTCATGCTGCGTATCACCTAAAAAGTTGTAAGTAAAATTGTTCCATTTAGTGACGTGTTCAATTTAAACCGTGCTGTTGAGTTACCCGACTACGGTGGTGTTTCTTTATGTAATACAGCGCCTGACACTTACTCAAATACAACATCCACCATAGTAGTCTATGTTTGTATTTGTCTGGAAGGTAAATAAATTGTAGTGAAACTTGATTTGTGAAGGAGCCATTTCTGACCCAAATGCAGACAGAGAAACAAACCCAAAAAAACCCCAACCCAGAAACAACTTGCTTTCAAACCCCAAAGAACAGGCAAAATGAGCAGGAGAAGGCTTGTACTTGCCACCACCGGGATTGTTCTGAACTTTGGAAATGTCATGTGCCTTCTGAGCCACGTCTGGAATGTGCTGTTCTTGTTTTAATCTCTGGGCTAATTCCTGAGCTTTCTCCATTGTCTGATAGAGCTCTTTGGTTTTAAGAGTTGCGAGTTCCTTAAAAAAAAAATAGGCAAATATGTGACAGTTTATTTTGAGAATAAAATTAATAGGATTATTTAATTCCCGTGTAATCCTCGAGGTTTACATATATTGTTATTTTGAGAAAATATTTTTTTTCCCCAAAACTACAAGTAGTTGAGTAAATGCAATATGTAACATATAATTTCTATGATTATTAAGGATAAATTCAGAACCTCTGCTGTACTAATGAAAGATGTTCAATCCTAGCATAGAAAAGTGAGCATTTAGATCCTAAAAGTTATTTGGATATTTATTTCCTTTCTAATAAATTCATCTTCTTCTAGAAGCCATCGGATGTCAGCCATTTGTGGCTTCCTGTATCATGTGGTTTAATGAAATGAAAGAAGCCTAAATAAAAATAATAAACTCACCTTCCTCCTACTTCCACAGGAGACAGTAAAAACTCCCTAACAAATGTGAGGGGGTTACAGTTTCCAGACTCAGTGGGTTCAACTGCAGGAGACAAGGCCAGGGAAAAATCTCATTTCCAAACTGTTATTCCCATCTCATCCCCACTTCCTACTGCATTTGCAGGTGGAAAGAACAACAACTGGTGGTGTAACATGTTTCGAAGGAGCTGAGCAATTACAGGCAAGGATGACCTTCCCTGTGTTTTACCAGTCCCTGGAATCAGGGATCCACATGTCTGCAGGTTTTGGAGCAGTGACACTATGGAATCTGCTGCTGTTCCAAACAGGAAACTAACTTTAATAGCTGCTACTGTGGCAAAAGGAAGAATGAAACATCAGACGAAGCTTTTAACCTTCTACAGAGGTAAGAACATATACAAATGCAAAATTTGTACTTGCCAAAGGTCAGAAGGTACTTTTGGTTTAACTTTTATATGAGAGCAGTATGTAAAGTTCAGCAGTAGCTACAGAGGGGAAAGCTGTAGAACATGAATGACTTTTAAAATTACTTTTCCTGACTATATTCTAAGAAGTCTTTAATTCAGACTGAAAGCACATTCAGTCAGATGAACTTCATGGTATTGAAGTATCTTAAAAGCATCGAGTTACCAATAACAATAATTGCATCACATACTCTGTGGTATTTTTTAATTTAAAATTTGCATTTTACAATGGATGTTTCTGCATTATTTAGAACTACATTTCCCTTTTTGCTAGTTCTTATAATTTCTCTTCCTGAAAAGGCCCTTGTTCAGAAAA